GCCTCGTTTGTCGTAAAAAAAGTGCTTCGTACGCAAAAATTCGTGTTTTTATGTGCAAAGGCACGAAATCGGTCAGCTCGGTCGGCTGTCGGTCGGCTGGGTCGGTGGTCGGTCGGCGGTCGGCGATTTTCGACCGACCGAAATGGAAGCCTTAGTTCAAGCGAGCGGGTCAGAAAGCGCGCCTCAGTAAATTTAGTAACACTTCTAAATTCGCTGCCGAGTTTCGTTGGCTGAGTTTCAAAGTTTGAAATGAAGAGCGAAAAAGCGCGCATTATAACCTGTTTATTTTAATGAAAATCATGATCTAGATCAAACCCGCGTCCACTTTAAAATTATTAAATTTATTCTGGCCTACGAGTTTGCTGGGGCGCCTTTTCTGACCCGCTCACTTGAACCCAAGTGAGCACATGAAGAACTCAAGTAAAGTATTTTCAGGTTACGGTAGTTTTCGTTCTGACACTTTAAACCATCAGCGTCTTTTACAATACATGTATCTTATACCAGTATAATATATCAAAATTTATAATTAATCAATCACTTCTTTACAATCACTGAATTCTTGACAGCAAGTGCATGACTCGATGTGAATGTGACACCAGTGTTGGGCGTGTTCTTCCGACTTCCAAGTAGTGTGTCTCGAACGTTCTGAAAACATTTTCAGCTTTTTTTTCAAGGACTTCAAATTTCCGAAAAAAAATTACCTTGACCATACAAATCACTAAAATTGGGTTAATGGCAGGACACCAAGAAAAAAGATACGGTAGATTTGAAGAAAGAATTGTGAATTCAATATCAGCATACGGGAGGATAAAGGCAGTGTAGAAGGGGATATGGATGGTGATGAAAGGGAAGATGAACTGAAAATTTAGAAAATTACAGTTTCAGAAAATAGAGAATTGGGGAGAAACACATGAGAATTAGTGTGACATCGGACATTACATTGGGAAAAAGAACTTGTTACAGACGGGTCCCCCAAAGAATCAACTGTGACCTAATTTATCGCATTTCCTTTAACAGGTATCAAAAATTTGTCAACTTACAAAATATTTTCGATAACATGATAAAACTTCTTGATATCTTTTACAGCGAACGAGGACACTTGTCTTTATTATGGATGTTATGGGCCCATTTAGCTGATTATATCTCTCAAAATATTTCAGTTTCAAGTAGAATGTATAATTGTTTAGCTATTGATCAGATAATTTGCGAAAATGAAGTTTTTCCCGATTAGTCACCTACCTCGGATTCTCGATGTATTTTATTTTGACCAAAATTTATATTCTAGATTATCTCTTATTCACAGAATAGTAGAAAATTTTTGTTTTCTACTCTATGAATTACCCCATTTCGGTATTTCTTGTACAATGTTTTTGATTCAAAAAATCACAGTTCCATATTTTCCGCTTCTACATTTTTGCGTATTATTTATCCACTGACCTAGCTCAAAAAATTTCATTCAGTCTCTCTCAAGCCTAATTCACTTTTTCTATCAATTTGACATGATTGACATCTATTCTCTATCATATTCCGTTCTCTGATTCAATTATCCTTGTTTTTTCCGGGTTGCACAATATTTTATGATTAGATTTACATTTATCAATAAGGAAATATAATACCAGGTCAATCTGAAGCTGGCGTGTCTTTGGCGCATTTCAAAATTTGAGGACAATAAAATTTTACTGTTTTCATCTGATTTTAATTGGCTAACTTTTTTGAATTACTTGTTATTTCAACTAGAAACACACACTACCGGTCAATAAGATATACAAAATGCGTTCTTCTGATGATTGTGACCATTTTCGAGAGACTGGAGCTTGGCTGTTAGATGTCAGATCACTTTGAAAATTTTGGAGGGTGTAAAACAGACATAGATTGAAAACTTCAGCTATTTTTTAATTTCTGAATGACACCCCCTTTTTTACGATTTCAGTACAAAAACGGGATGTCTTCCAGAAATCGGCGAACAGCAGACATTTTTGGATATTCCAAAATACTCTGTGAATGCAAAGTTTTAAATCTACGTCTTTTTTACACCCTCCGAAGTAAAAAATCCATTGAAAACCCCGTTTTTCTATATCATATGGACCGGTACTGTATTACAAAATCTCACCTGTACCATCAGCAATAGATTCAACTGTTTTTGTGATTTAAGCGATTGCTGCGTCGTCACTGACTTCTTTTTACTCATCATTTTCTGCATGTGCGAGAAACAAGCAACAACCACTAACACGGATAAAACCATTGCTGTGAACATGAAAAATGTGCATATTCGAGCCCAGACATCATACTCCATAGTTCCCGTTTCAGGCATCATTATCTTCAAAACACCAGAAATTTCAAGATCAACTAGAATTTGACCTACTTTCTCTTCAGGAGCAATTAAAAATGAACTATCTTCATGTCCGGTTATTTCTTGTATCAAAGACTCGGAGATATCCATTTCATAAGAAGTCGGTATGTATCCAAGATAAATGAATATGGATGTGGGGATGGCTACCAAAAGAGGAACTGCATTTATAACCAGTCGGAGAACCGTATGATTTTTGAGAGCTGGACTGAAAAATTTTAATGAATATTAAACTACTTTCAAACAACTTACTTTGATAAAAGATAAGCAACCTGCAGGTACTGAACTGTTGGACCCGTACAAGAAGTGACTACTAGAACTAAGAATAGGTTTATCAGATTGTTTCCCAATTCTCGGGACATGTCGATTCCGCCTTTGACAATGTATAGAGCTTTCACTTCGCTGATGTACATTATTGTCTGAAATTATATTTTCGGTTTCGAAAAATTTTGAATTGTGTCTGAAAAGTGTAACATAGATTCGCGCGTGAGTGTAGATCGATTTCGAAAATAAGACATTTTTTCAGTTGACTTAAAAGTAAAAAGACTAAAATAATGGTATGGCTTGTAAAATTTGTACCAAGCATTTTGAAATCAGTCATTTCTAAAGAGTCCTAAAAGCATCTAAAATTCGTCTATTGGTTTTGTAGAATGTTTTTCTGTAAAAGTTCATCTAAATAAAATAGCGTAAGACCTGTAATAGAATGGCCCCACACTGTCAACACTTCCCAAAAAAGATATCAAAGGTAACCAGAAAAAATGTTTTTGATGTTAAGGCAAACATTATTTTGGTCAACCACTCCGAAAACTTATACAGGAAATTGGGGCTCTATATGATTTCAGCGGTCCCTAGAGAAAATAACGGTCCGCAGTGAAAAAAGCGGTCCGCAGTGAAAATAGCGGTCCGCAGGGAAAATAATGGTCCAAAAAGAAAATAACGGTCCGGAGCGAAGTTTGCGTTTGGGAATTCAGGAAAATTCCATAAATCCTGTTTTTATTGAATTTTCAATTACCAATCGAAGTTTTTTGTTGTTTTGTTGGTTTTTTTGGGGAAAGTAGTTAAAGTTGGAAAACTTGTGGTAAGTTTTGAAAGCTATACACACCTTGCAAGTATTTTTTGTCCTATTATAAGTCTCATTTATAAGAACATCCAAAAACCGCAATTCTCAAATAGTTCATACCTATTTGACAAGAATGTACTATATTTTCTACATACTCAAAGTTACCGTAAAATCTGTGTTAGAAGGGCCGTCACTTCTATATTTCTAAGCCTCTCTCAGAGAGGCCTTCTATTAGAGGGGACCTTCTATTTTCTAATACAGGTTTTACAGTAAATATTTATACTGAAAATAGTTGTGGCTTAAATAGCCGTACTGTACAATTCTCTCACCGGTGCCGTCACAAAAACCAATAACGAAAAAGCTAATCGAAAAATGCATGAATAATACTGTGCCAAGCGGACTGTATCCGAGTACGTCTTCACTTTTGAAGTCAAATAAATCAATAATCCATTGGCGATCAATGATACGATTCCAGCGGTTCCCGCGTTGATCTCCTCCATTAGTGGATTCGTTGTATAGTGCTCCATCATCTACAGAATATTTTTTTTTTTTTGAAAAAAAAACTTTCAGTCAAAAAAGTGAAATACGGGAAAAACAAAGAACAGAGGGAGGAAGAAAATTTAATCCAATTTTCAGATTTTGTTGTTTTTTTTTTCAGATCACCTATCCAATTTTCTCGGGAATGACCCCCGATCATTCCAGTAATAACAATAAAAATTACAAAAATCAGCTTTTATGAGAAGTGATTGTTTTTTAATATTTAAAAACATGTCAGAAGAAAAATCAGAACGAATTTTGACCGGATGGAAAATCAAAGAAAGGAAAAAAACTAAGATGATGTGGGAAAATAATTTGGAATTCGTTTTGTGACTAATTCAAAAAACAAAATTTTTGGGAAAACGGAGTTCCCTATTTTTCTAATTTTTTCGAGCTAAAAAATTGTATTAATTTGTGATACATAATTTTTTGCAGTGTACGATTCCAGTTGTTCTTGTTGGTATTTTTAAAAATAATGGGTGACCATAACACATAATGGGGTAATCCGTTTAATTGAAAAAAAACACACACATTTTCAAAAAAATGTTCCTGTTTCAAGATATTTACTTTATAATTAGAAGTTTTGGTCAACTATGTCATTTCCTGGTTTAGAAATTTCAAAAAAAAAAAGAATTCTAATAGTAAGTATGAAAAAGTTTATCAAAACTAAAAATAAAACAAAACTAGTTTTTTTCCCTGTTTCATCAAAGCTTGATAAAAATTGAAAAAACAAGAAGCCCTAGTCAGCATACAAATTGTATTTTTAATTCGATTTTCAAAAAAAAGGGGATAAAGAAGCTTTTTGGATTCTATTTTAGAGAGTTCTGGTATGCATTCTGACGTGACGGTGTACAGTGTTTGTGTTTACACTTGCTATGGTGCCACCGTAGCTCAGCTGGTAGAGGCGCTGCACCTCCAACGAAATTTTGAGAAAGTTGTTATTTGTCATGTCCCCCCTTTTAAATTGATTTATTAAGAAAAAGTGGCCACAAAATTATTTTCAGTGTCTTTTATGACCTCCTGATTGACAGCTGCATTAAAAGTCCAAAACTTGTGACATGACTACTTTCGAGACCTAATATTTATCTTGGCCGGTCTGTTTTTATGAATCGGCCTCTTTATAAGCATGTGTCTGAAAATGCTCATAGTTTTGGAAAACCAGAAATCTAGAAAATCTACAAAAACTTTCAAAAGTATTTTAGAAAAATAGTGACATCAAACTGTTCGGACTAGTAAAACTTTCTCACTGAAACCGAGAATTAAAATTATCTTTTTTTTGACAAATGAAATCATGTCTGACACTTTTATTTCCAGACAAGTACTAAATTTGAAAAAAGTGATCAGTCTGAAAAATAATTATACAGTCTAGCAAGGGTTTCTTCGTCTTACTATTAGGTTGCATCAGAATCGTTGGAAACGACGACTTTTCATAAAAAGAACATTTTGAAACGGTAAAGAATTTTTTCTGCTGAGGTAAGTCAGAATCATTCATGTGAAATTACCTGATTTTCGTAGTTCTGAATCACGATGTTCTAGGTGAAACATCTAAAAAATGACGAAAATTAAAAATCAAAGAATTAAACAAAAATTACTATTTCAAAAACTAATAATTTTAAAGATGTTTATTTCAGAGATGATTCCAAGATTTTTTTCATGATTGCTTCAGAAAATCAGGGTTGCAACCGGCCGGCCCGGCCCGGCCGGTTCGGCCGGTTCGGCCGGTTCGGCCCGTTCGAATTTAAGAAAAAACAGAAATTATTGAAGAATTATTTGAATTTATTTCTTAACAAGTAGCATAACAATGTAAAAACCGTATAAATGAACAAGGGGAAACAAAGAAATGGAAACCGGGGGAGAAAATTAAAAAATTAACTATCTTTTTTATTCAGTTTCAATTGAAGGTCTGATTTGGATATCTTGAAACTCATTTTTCGAGTTTGGGAGGGGTGTGAGTAAGATGGCGAGCCGTAGGCTGTCGTTTGCTCTGAAAATAATTATTTTATGAAAAATAGGGATTATCAGGCAATTCGCGACAAAAAAAGGAGAAAAATCGGTTGATAAACGCAAAAAATCGTCGAAAAAAAAACAAAACAAACCCCCGTAAATCGACACGGGCTGCTAAACAATGCGCGCCTCGTCATATCGGAGTATCGCCGGCCGGGCCGGGCCGGGCCCTGGTTTTTTTCCCTCGGGCCAGCCCGCCGGCCAGCCCGTCAGATTTCAACCCTGCAGAAAATAAATATTTGAAAAATTTGAGCTGCCAAACAAATCGACAGATCCTATGAAGAAGTTTTCTTTTCAAACAGATGTGAAAATTATAGGGTTCCAGTGATCTCTGTTGTCAAAAACATCTAAGTATCTAGATTGATCAGAGACCAGAAAGTTTGAACGTGTTGTGATAGATTATTGGATTTTAAAAATAATTTTATTTTTTCGGTTTCCAAAGCATGTAATATGTATATTCAAATGTTAGATCATTATTTCGTTCTCTTCATCACTTGAGTATTGGTCCTGACATGAAAAATTTGTGTAGAAGTGGTGAATGTAGTTCCGGTCCACGGGGTTCCTTTTCTGTTGAGCAACTTGTCACGGATGCTCTGAAAACACAAATTCTGTAAAAAAGAGAGAAAATCGGAATACTTTTATCATACAAATCACCAATATTGGGTTTATTGCTGGACACCAAGCAAACATATACGGTAATTTTGAAGATAAATTATTGAATTCAATGTCAGCAAATGGGAGGATGAATGCCACGTAGAAAGGGATATGAATGGTTATGAATGGGAAGATAAACTGAAATTTAAGAGTTACCGTTTCAGAGAATCGATAATTATGGAGAAAATTATTTTTGACATCTAACAAGTGTTTTTAAAATGTATTTATTTCAACGAAGGGGAGAAAACCACTAGCACGTGAAATGTCTATGAATCTAGGAGATATAACAGGGACATACATTTGTAGTAATTGGGAGATGAAGGAAAGTTATAATTTTTATAACTTATAAATGACAAAATTTCTAACAGTTTCGAAAATTATGACTTCTTTTTTTAAGTTTCAAATGTTCAGTTTCAATGAACTACAAAATTACAAGAATGTTCAGTTTTAATGAACAGAATTACAAGAACTTCCAAAGAAAAAAATAATGGTAAGGTAATGGCTCATTCAACATTTCGAATCTTACCTGTACAAATAACAAGAGGTTTAACTGCTTCTGTGATTTCTGATTACTAATCGACGTTTTCTTTTTCATAGTAATCTGCATTTTTATAGAACACAAAATCACAACAATCAATGACAAGAACATTGCAGAGAATATGAATCCAGTGCATATTCTGGCGGGAACATCATACGCAAATGTACCAGAAGAAAAATCATAAATCTGAAAAATGTATTACTGTTTTCATATCTTCGTATATGCGATGTTCCTGCAGAGTGACAATACATCTTTTGTACAGCCAACAGATAAAATTTAAAGAATTATCTCACCTTTTCCTCTGCGGCCATCAAAAAAGAGCAATCGTTCTTTCCCGTAATCACCAGAATCATATCCTTTGATATCTCTTTCTCATATTCATTTGGCACGTATCCATTGAAAATCAGAATTGAAGTAGGAACTGCCACAAACAATGGTATTAAAGTTATCATTGTCCGTAAAACTGAATGAGTTTTTTGCACTGGACTGAAAAAGTTCAAACCTTGGTCTCTAAAAATAACTTTGCCAAGGGGATCACCTGCATAATAAATGAGTGACTTGAAGGTACTGTACAGCTGGACCAGTGCAAGAAGTAACCACAAAAACAAGGAAAAGAATTAAAAGGATACATCCAATGTCTATCGGTAAGTCAAAACCTCCCTTGGCAATGTAGAGAGCTTTTGTTTCATCCAAGTACATGACAGTCTGGAAGATTATTTGTTTCAACTAGTTTCATATATCAGAAACGCACCGGTGCTATAACAACTACCAATAAAGAAAACGCTAATCTGAAACAGCAGGCATAGTATTGAGTCCGTTTTACAGTATCCGAATAACTTTTTACTTTAATTTTTAAATAAACCAACAGGCAGTTTGCAAATAGAGAAATGAACCCGGAAATTCCGGCGTTAGCCTCTTCTAGCCAGGATTCCGTCGTAAAGTGTTCCATCCGGAAAAAAATAAGGAAATCCGAAGGAACTCTGATTTTTATAACAAACAACTGACTAGAGAATACTTGGAAATGCATATTTAGGGGTTTATTGTTTTGAACAAAAATAATCAGCCTTTATTATGATTTCTGATAATTTGATAAAAAGGAACGGATTGAAAAGTAGTATATTGAGAATGGGTATTGATTTTGGTTCTCTGAGTGGCTAATCCAGTATCAAACCTTTGGGTGGGAAATTTTTTGAAGAACCGGGGAGGTTCGGAATGGTCTTTTCGGAACATCGGAATATCGGAATTTCGAAAGTTTGCAATTTTTATGATTTTTGAAAAAAGTTAAGGTGTTGAACTCTTCCTGCCTAGGTAAGTCAGAACTACTCATGAAAAAAGACCTGATTCGGGAGTTCTGAATCATGATGCTCTAGGTGTAACATCTTGAAAAAATGATGTTTAAAAATTAAAGATCAAAGAATTAGATAAAAAAAAACACTATTTCAAGAACTGGAGATTTGAAAGACATTTATTTCATATATGGTTCTAGCGTTTTGAACGAAACCGTTTCTGATTTCAATGAAACTCGAACCATGACCAAATTCGCTAGAAATATTTATTACATCAGGCGTTAGGAATTTTAGGATTTTTTTTTCAGTTTCAAATTTGAGATGCCCAATAGTTAGTTGCAACATATCTCAATTAACTACTATTGGTGATGAGTTGACTTCCTGACTAGGGAACCGGTCCTAGAATGAAAAATATGTATGGAAGTGGTAAATGTGGTTCCAGCCAACGAGTTTCCGTTTCTGTTGAGCAACTTATCACGGATGCTCTGAAATCACAATTTCCAAAAAAAAGAAAAATTGAAATACCTTAATCATACAAATCACCATAATCGGATTGATCGCTGGACACCAAGCAAACATATACGGTAATTTTGAAGATATGTTATTCAGTTCAATGTCAGCAAACGGGAGGATGAATGCAACGTAGAAGGGGATGTGAATAGTAATGAACGGGAAGATGAACTGAAAACTTTTAGAATTACAGTTTCAGAAAATCGACAATCATGGAGGAAATGACTTTAGATATTGAGATAGCTACCCAAATTTTAAGTTTACAAAGTTTCCAGAAGGTTTCGAAAGTTGACTCCGAGGTTCTTAAAAAAACGTTTTTTTTTTCAATTTCAGTTTTAAAAAAGTGACAATTAACTTTTAGACAGGGGAGTGACACTAAATCCGATATAATGAGCTTTCCAAACCCCACCTGTACAAATAACAAGAGATTCAATTGCTTCTGTGATTTCTGATTACTAATTGACGTTTTCTTTTTTCTTGATACTTGCATTTTTATAAAACACACAATCACCACAATCAATGACGAGAACATCGCTAAGAATATGAACCAGTGCACATTCTGGCGGGAATATCATACATGAACGTTCCGGAAGCATGATCATAAATCTGGAAATTTATTACTGTTTTCAGAAGTTTTTATTTTCGATGTTTCCGAACAGTGACAATAAAAGTGCTTATTCTACAGTAAACTAAAAGAGGTTCAGCTCCGATGCAACAGTGCCTTCAAAGTTTCCCGGTTTGATTAGTTTCAAGTAGAAAGAAAGATTCGGCTGAACTTCAATGTTTTTCAAAGGTTTTTTGAGTCATAAAGTTTGGACGGAAATTAATTAGACAAGTCAGAATATTTTAAATTTTTCTTAAATCGAGTTTGAAAAATTTCACATTTTGAGATTGTTAATTCAGAAATTTCCAAATTTCTCATTTTCCGAATCTTCAGAAAAATAACTTTAGGAAGTAAGAAATCTGGGAATACGAGATTCTGGGAAATAAGAAATTTGGAAGTGAAGAAATTAGTGAATTCGATAATTCGAATTGTCTGAAATCCAGAATATTACTAACTTCCAAATATCTTATAATTTTCCAAATTCTCGAAGCTCTGAACATCATGATCTCCAGAATGATAAATTCCGAAATTACAGGAATTCCAAGTTTCAGAATTAAGAATTTCATAAACTCTGAATGATTAAGCTATCAATTTTCTTATTTTAGATCCGGAAAACATTTTTTTTAAATGGAAGTTAATAATTGCTCACAATCGATTAAAACTAAATATTTTTTTTCTCTCCGGTTTTGAGATTCGAACATTTTAAGTAAAGCCAGGAGATTGTAGCCGCCGATAGGCGGAAATTGACTGGTTCTACAGTAAATTAATTCAATATCTAGAATTTGCTCACCATTTCCTCGGATTCTATCAGAAAAGCGTTGTTATTCTCTCCTGTTATCTCCTGAATCAAATCCTTTGAAATCTCCTTCTCGTATTCATTAGGCATGTATCCATTAAAAATCAAAATGGAAGTAGGAATCGCTACGAACAATGGAATCAAAGTGATCATTGCCCGTAGTACAGAATGATTTTTCAGGACCGGACTGCAAAAAAAAATTACAAGTAAAGTTATCCGGACAGAACGCTTACCTCGATAATAAATATGTGATTTTAAGGTACTGTACAGCTGGTCCAGTACAAGAAGTAACCACGAAGACTAGAAAGAGATTCAAAAGAATACAACCGATGTTGGTTGCTATCTTAATCCCTCCTTTGACAATGAAGAGAGATTTTACTTCATTCAAGTACATGATAGTCTGGAAGACAGGGCTTGATGGAGAGGGGGACAGAAAAGTTTCCTGGGTGAGAGTGTGCATTTTGACATTATGGTGTACTGTTATCGGTGTTTGCACCTTTTGCGTTTAAGCATAGCTATTGAACTCGGTGACACAGATACTCACCGGAGCTGAAATTACCACCAACAAAGAAAACGCCAATCGGAAACAGCAGGAATAGTATTGACACCATTTCACAGTATCCGAATAACTTTTCACTTTTGTTGTCAAGTAAATCAACAGACAGTTTGCAAACAGAGAAATGATCCCAGCTGTTCCGGCATTAGCCTCTTCCAGCCAGCAATTGGTCGTATAGTGTTCCATCATCTGCAAAGAATTAAAGAATCATTCGGCTTTTAAAGACAAGAATGGTCATTTTAGCACCTGGAAATGAATATTTAAAGGTGTTTTATTATTCAAAATGGACTAAAAACAATTAGGTTGTATTATGATTTAGGACAAATTGAGAAGTGGAACAGACCGGGAAGTTGGGAACGAGAAATGGTAAACAATGCTCTTGAAGTTTGTGTTGAAGCAAATTTTCAGCATGGCTAGTTCAATTTTAAAAATGTTAAAGGGAGACATGAGAAGAATAATGTTGTCGAAATTCCGTTTAAATATGCTCCTCGAGGAGTTGAACTTGTCGAGGCGAGTGTTGGAGGTGCGGCGCCGCTACCGACTGAGCTACGCGTGCAAAGAGAAAGCCGCTGCCCGATTGCATACATAAAGGCGAGGGCGACAGCTGTACGCAGAGTGACAATAGGCGTTGTACACCGTTACGGTAGAATGCATACTCTGGCCCCAAAAATCCCCCGTAAAATCTCCTGTCCCCCCACCTTTAATTTTTTTGAAGGAATGATGGGAAAAAATGAGAAGAGCAGCTAGGAAAGTTACCGTAAAACCTGTATTAGAAGGGCCGGCTCTTCTATTTTTCGTGGGGTCCCTAGGGGGCACTTCAATTAGAGGGGCCCTTCAATTAGAGGGGGCACTTGTATTTTTCGTGGGTCCTCTGAAAACGGATCTTCTATTGGAGGGGCATCATTTTTTGTGAAAGTTTCGTTTTTCTACTAAAAATCCATTACAATTTCTACATTAAAAAAGAAAAACCACCAATATTGCTAAATTTTTAAAAACTGGCACCTGAAAATTTCGCGGGCGCCGTTCGTGAGGCCTCGTCCTTGAATCCGTCATTATATCAAACGAAATTAACTTCTTTGAATTTAGTTGGATTTTCTGATTAAAATTCAGATTTCTTGATAACATTTTAATTGCTAGAATTGCTAGAATTTTCTAAACCTAAAACTCTGAGCTTGATTGCGAAAATTGCTCGAACGAGAAAAACATCTGTATTAGAGCAACGGCATTCAAATTTTCAGGTGCCAGTATTTTTTAAAATCAGACAGTAATTCAATCAAAACAATAGAAAAAACGGCTGAAAATCAAAGGAAGTAGTAGTCAAAGGGGCACTTCAATTAGAGGGGGTAGTTCAAATAGAGGGGGCACTTCTATTTTTCGTGAGGTCTCTAGGGGGGGGGGGGGGGGCACTTCAATTAGAGGGGCCCTTAAATTTCAGGGGCCCTTCTAATACAGGTTTTACGGTACTTGTTTTTATTCAAATTTAGGGTCTGCGGCAACATTCATGAATAGGTAAATTATATGACCAAGAATCCAAATACCACATTTTAGAAACTGTGTTTTTTTCAGGAATTGAAAAGTTATTTTAAAAAATTCTTCAATAATCAGGTGTCCCAAAGTGACAAATAAAACATAAACTACAATTAAATCACAAAGAATTTCAATTCCAATGATTTAAAGGGGGACTCCGGTCAAATTTTTTAATGCATTAAAATGTGTTAAAAGTTATCTATTTTCCTAATATTATTGCGAAAATTTTTTTTTTAAATCCGAAATCCCCGAAAAACGCCGTTGAAAAGGAAAAAATTAAAAAAAAAAGGTGCCGCCGAGAGACGAGGATTTTAAGTGAGAAACCTAGGCCACGCGAGCGGCGCGACTTTCTTACCGGACAATTTTCCCGGATTTTTTTCGCTTTCATCTCCGACAGGTAAAAAACGTTAAAAAACACTGTCGGCCACTTGAAAATAATGCTATCAGGCGCTGTGGCCTAGGTTTCGCACTGCGCGGGAATTCAAATCCTCGTCCCTCGGCGGTCCCTTTTTTGAATTTTTTTCATTTTCAACAGCGTTTTTCGGGGATTCTTCTGAATTTTTTCGCAATAATATTAGGATAATAGATAACTTTTGAAACATTTTAATACAAAAAAAACTTTGGTCGGATTCCCCCTTTAAGAATTAGAATCTTACAGAATGTTTACTGTTCCAGTTGTTTTAGTAAAATACTACGGAAAAAAACGGTGTTCTTCCAACAACAAAGTTCAGATACTTCACTAGACATTTTTCTGTCTCTTCCCTTTTACATCATCATTTTATCCTTTGTAATAAGCACAACAGTGACGTTCGTTCTTCTGATTTCTAGTAACATCCAGTTCATTTTTTCCTAATGAGTAAAAACTTAAAAAATGAAAAAACTAGAGTTTCTGCTCTACATCAATCTCTGGGTAAACGAAATTGAAAAAAGTGGTACCGGACTGAACTCTCATTTTTCTGAATAAAAAACTAATTATCCTGAAAAAAATTAATCTATCAAAAATTGTTTTCAGTGTGACACTATTGCACGAATCATGGACTTTATCGGGTTATAGACTTGCAGGTGGAAAACAACGCTATCAGACAATATGATTTATGAAAATCGAAGAAAAGACAGCAGACTGATATTTGCAAAGATCTTTAAAGAAACTTCAACGACTTCTTTTCTGGAGAACGACGTCTTGAGTGGAAGATTTTCCATCTGAAACAGAGATCTTCCTCGGTAGAAATTTGTCTTGTAACACTTCTCGAACGTTCTGCAAAAAAGTACAATATTTTGAGTTCAACTCGAAAATGATGGGAATTCTAGATTTTCAAAGATGCGGGACATGAAAAATATATCCTAAATTTTTGACTGTTTCTATATGAACTTAAAATATGATTTGGTTTCAATGAAATAGTATTCAAGTGGATTCAGTTCGCCATTTCCGGATTTTTTTAGATGTTGGCTGTAATTTTCACAAAAAAGTTCTTCTCAAAAGTCCATTCATATCTCCAAAAAATCTCCTGTCTCCCCTTTATTGAGCTTAAAAAACAAGTTTTTCAGAATTCATACTAACCTTAACCACACTCATCACAATAATCGGATTTGCTGCTGGACACCATGCAGATAAATACAACATGTTATCCGATAAAAATTCCAAATTAATATCGAAAAATGGAAGAAAAAATGTGATAAGAATTGGTGTATGAATAGTGAAAAATGGGAAAATGAACTGAAAAAATTTAACAAAAAATGTTTACCGTTTCAGTGTGGTTTTAGCATTGAAACTTTTAGAATTGTACATTACATCCCAAACTTTAGACTCACTTGAATCAGAAGCATTGTGTTCAATTGATCTTGCGACTTTTTCGACGATGAGCTTGTGCTAGCCGCAAACTTTTGTTTCATTAAAATCTTGATTCGCACGAAGCAAGATATTGCAAAAATTATTGACACCAGCATAACCAAAAAGATGAATGATGCACAAATTAGTGGCATAATATTTGCCATTTCTAGAGCCATAGGTATAGTTAGCGTTGTCGCCATTCCTTGGTTCTTCATCTTATTCATTATCTCTTGAGGAAAAACTTCTGATTTTGGGATGTATCCCAAACAGACAAGAGCAAGTGCAGGGATCCCAATTGATATTGGGATCAGGAAAATTCCGAAATTCGCATCTTGTTTCGAGGTTCTGAAAAAGGGAGTTTTCATGGAATTTTTTGGAAGGATAGTGTGCATTTTTGCGTGGCGGTGAACAGAGATCGGTGTTCACACATTTCATTTTTTATGTGACTATCGCTGAACTTGCCATAGGTTGCATAGCGCTGACCGCGTAGCTCATCGGGTAGCTGTGCTTGTGATGAAAGGGCCCCATAAGCCAATTTATTTCGGGTCCCGTCAAAGATATAACTTTTAAACTCGTAAATTATTCATCACAATATCAAAGGTGTTTTGTCAGTTGACACATTTTTGATATCTTGCCTAGAAATTGGGGAACTGATCTCAAACTTGTCAGTGTGGAGGGCCCTTTTATTACAGGTTTTACGATATTTTGAAGAATTGAGGAATCATAGAGAAATGATGTCACAAACTCACGCTTTTAAAATAGTCTTCACTTGTGAAACTTGAAACTGTAATTTCATTCAGTTTCTATTCCCACTTTTCACCATTCATTTACCATTTTATATAACTTTTATGATTCCATTTTTCAATCGGGACATTGATTTTCTAACTGATAACATATTATATTTATGTGCGTGGTGTCCAGCAATCAATCCAATTATTGTTATGGTTATGGTCAAGGTGAGAGTCGGAAGTGGATTAACAATTTGAGCTCTGCATTTTTTTTTGCGTATTATATATTAAAGTAGGAAAAATAATAAGAAAAAATTATGCTAGTTTTGATACGGTAAATAAATTGGAGGGTTGTTTCCTCATAGGAGTCTTCAGATTTCTTTATTACCGATTGCAACCCATTGCCTAAATAGGCTCAAAAAATACGGTAGTTTGCTCTTGCTCCTTAAAAAAAGGGATATCTGCTCTAAACGTGCGTAGATTTGAGACAAGAGTAATAGCCGAAAAACAATCGGTATAGCTGGGTCAGAGAGCAACTACTAATATACGAAAAAAAAAGAAAACTTTATGTTGAATTTGATACGGTGAAAAATTTGGAGCGTTCGTTTTCTCCCACTACGATATTGGTTTTAGAATCGAACTTAGTACACTTCTGACACCGGAGATGTTATTTTCAGAACATACGCGAAGTAATTTTGCCAAAACATCTATCCTCTCTTATCGGTAACAACACAAAAATTTCCACTCTCCGAATATTCATTTCTCGAACATAATTGCTATTTACACCTATTCCTATTTTCACCTTCAATTCGATTAGTCACTTGTTTTTAACTTGGTTTTCTCGCATTTTGTTTTATTGATTCTAAAAAATGAATGGAACTTCTACCGATTATCCTGTTAAATTTTACCAAAGTTTCAATAATTTCCCATTGGGTGATATCAGCAATTATTGTGCTGCAATTACATCGATTTTCTCAGATTTCCTGTTGATTTTCGTGATTAGTCAT